TTAAAAAAAGTGAATAATCTCTCCAGTTCACAATAATAAAAAATATTTTTTGTTGTCAATATATGTCACCTTGTTGAATTTATATATGATTCTATGATTTTACCATAATTTATTGTTTCGCAAATTGTTATTTTCTTGAAAATTTTATATAAAAAATAAGGGTAAATTGAAAAGTAATCAAACTTGGTAGGTCTTGTGAAATTAAACTGTATTTTATAACCTAATTTTGAAATTTATGTATTGTTGGGTACAATGTTTTCAAATCCGGACTGAACCGTCGAACCGGTCTGGCTAGTGACAAAAAAATACGACTTGTTTTTTTTTTTATGTTCAGAGTGCTTGAGGAGTTGAACCCCATTGAACTGTTTAGACCTGGCTATTGAGTTAGGAACAAGACTTAAACCATGATCTAGAGTGGTTTGTAAGGAACCATCCGGGTTGGAGCTGTTTGGATTTCTCCATTAACAATGGAAAAGAAAAAGGAGAAGAAACATAAGAGAAAAACAAAAACATCTCAAAGGAAAAAAAGGCTGATTTTTTTTTTATTTAAGCAAGAATTTAAAAACGTTCGTCTTATACGTTCTCTACTCTTTCTTCCATTTGCAAGTTTAAAAATTTTTTGAATTTTTAGGGCTGACGAGTTATTTTATTTGTTTAAAAAGAGAACGAGTGATTGGATTGGTTGAGAAAAAGGAAGGAATAGTGGGAAAGCGGGGGAGTTGGGGCTGGAGAAGCGACCCCCCATCCCATTGCTTCATTTATAAAAAGGAAAATTACGATTATTGAAGCGAGTAGGCGAGAGGTGCGGATGTGGGAGCCGCACTGTTCATAGGTTTGAGTGGAAAAATTATTTTTTAGATATATTGATTTAAATTTTGTTCTTGAACAACATTACCTCAGTCCACGTAATAGCTATAAAATCTCAATAATATAGGATTTAGACAAGGGATTGGATTTGGTCAAAATTAGATTCAGACATAAATATAAAGTCTTAATTTACTTTATTTATTATTTTTTTCTAAACTAATTCCTGGGAAATTTACACTAAATGTCCAATTTGAGAAAGATCAAATTGGTTGAAATATAATTTGATTAGGCCGAATAAGGTAATGTTCTTCAAGATTAAAAATTTGTTAACGCTGAACTTCATTCAAGAGGAAGGCGAATTAGAAGGTAATATTATACAGAAAAATAAAATCCTAATGACAAAAGCAGTAAATGCAATAAAGTAAATCGGAGGCTACTGGAATCAAAGAGGAGAAACAACAAGCAGACAATTTACACCCGTTCTTCTATTTAAATGTGACTTCTTGTATTTTCTTTCTTCTCCACAATCTCATTTAATATGAATAGAGTTGAAAAAAATATTAATTTTCAATTCATGAAAAGTTTAATGAGTTAACTACTATTTTTTAGTTCTGATGAATTACTTAATGTGGCTTATATTAAGGATAAGGGGGAGTACATTTTGTATTCACATCATAATCATCCATATTTTCACTGGCGCAATCATATCTAATAAATGAATGTAGTTATAAGTCAGCTACTTTTGTCTGAAACTAAGGGAAAAAATGTGTGTAGCATTACGATGTCATAATGTATGCAAATTGTCTCTCCAAGCCAAATTTTCAACGAAGTTAATTACTTACTTTGATTTACATTTTCCATTCACATGAAAATTATGTACTTTTGCACAAATCATGAAAACAATATTTCCCCTTTTGCATAAATCACGAAAGCTATTTAGTATCCTTAGAAAAATTTTTTGGCCATGGATTAGGAATCATATTATCTTTTCATAAACACACTTCCTTATAAAATGCTATTCTTTTCCACACAGTCATTTTAAATTAATTAAGAGTATCCTCTTTTCAAACAGTATTCTTGAAAATATATTAATTATAATGTATATTTTGTAAATCGATTTATAAATAGAAATATCAAAGCCTTCTAAAATTTGTCTTATAATGAATAGTAACAAAGGATGTACATGCTACCTTTTTACCGTCACTAGTTATAGGTTACAACTACTCGTATGAAAGAAAGAAAAAATTGGTGTGGCTTCATTCATTATGACATGACTTGTCCTTCTTTTCTTATCATGTAGTTCTAATTGTCCATTCCAAATTTTAATAATTTAAATTCTTATCCAATATCCTGCTGCCATTAAAGATCCACCACTCGTCTTGGTTTTAATTTGTTATTGATTGTGGTAATAACAAACTGTTCATAATAATCTATTTGATTAAAAAAGATTTCATGTTAAATATTCTGCATACCAGAATTATCCCCTTTACAACCTTGCACCTAAATTTTACTTGCCTTCGTGATATTAACAACGCAATTTAATCTGGCTATTTTTCAGTTAAATGAATATTATCCCCCCCAAATTATCTAGAGCCATTTAATACAAAATTCCAACTAGGTCAACATTGCATCAAGAACAGTTTTATGGGGTTTTGGGGGTTGGAATTCAAGAGAAGCTAAAAGTACGGGAGTTAACAAAATTCAGCTATTGTTTTGTCTACTTATTTATTTTTAATTGCTTATGTTTCATCATCAGATAGATTATATTGCTTTAGATTATTAAACTGGATGGACAAAATAGCTCCAATAAACCGAACTAGAGGGGCAATACCAACGACTTAGAGACATTTCCTCCTTATTTAATTCCACCAACGACTTCTATTAACAAGAACTACAATCAAATGACTTGATATAATATTATATCATATCTAGCAAAGCAGGACATATTCATGTTTAGTTAACTACATATTGTTTTGGATAAAATAAATATGTTTTTAATTCTTAATTCTTGATATAGACATAGGAAACTTACAAGGAAATGCAACTTGAAAAAGTGTGCAAACGAAAAGTTTTAAATAAAGCTTAGCGTAATTTATAATATTTTTAAGAGGATAATACGTTGATCTCTTTTTCGGAAATCAAGAAAAACTTGGTGAGGTTTCATTAATTATGATGTGTGTATATCATGCAAGCAATGGTGAAGATTAGTGCTGAAATCATCTTGAAGACATAAAATAAATGCATGTAATTAAATGTTGCAACCACTCGGCAAAGAAGCCATGTGAGGTTGGGAGGATTTTGCGTGAAGGATGAAGGGCTCTTACAAGCTACTACAAGCATTCTGTCTTTTTTAAGGAGATCCAGTTAACCAAATTGCTTGAGTTAATGAATCGTTAATATTAGTTAAAAATAATGATGAATACTCTCTCCAGTTCACAATAATAAGAGTATTTTTTTGGTTTGTCAATACATGTCACCTCATTACATATATTATATGAATGTACAATTTTATCAAAACTATTATTTTGCAAATTGTTATTTTTCTTGAAAAGTGTACATAGTAAATAAGGGTAAAATTGAAAAGTAATTAAACTTGGTATGTCTTGTAATTTGTGATGTTAAACCTGCAGTTTACAATAGGTAAAACGTTTTCAAACTTAAGACTGGTCTGGCTGACGACCAAAAAATTCGACGACTCATTTATTATGTTCAGACTACTTGAGGAGTTGAACCGCAATGAACCATTTAGACCGAGTTATTGAGTTGGGAATCAGAGTTAAACCACGATTGGAGTGGTTTACAAGGAACAGTTCGGGTTGGAGCTATTTAGATTTCCCCATCAACGGTGGGAAAGAAAGAAGGAGAAGAAACATAAGAGAAAAACAAGAAGTCTAAAAGGAAAAAAGGCAGGTTCCCCCCCCCCTATCCACCTGACAGGAATCAATGGCAACGAAACGGACGAAGGATGAAACTGAAAAAGAAAGAACAAAGAAGCAAGAAAGGCAGTGAAGATGCGACTTAGGCGCCTATTTTGCCAAGCCAATTTTGAAGGTTATCCTTAAGCATTACGTCTCACGTCATTTCGTCTTCTCAATTTTTTTTTCCTTTTCTTCAATTTTAAGATTTATTTTACGGTAGTTAATTGATTTAAAATCCATGTTTTATATATTTTTTTTTAAAAAAATAATTGGTGTAAAGTTAAACACGTAGTGTGTTTAGCATATTATCAGTTATTGTAATCCTAACTAAAACAAAATAATATTTTGTTGTTGCAGCCCAAAATAATCGTCAATATTTTTAAATAAAGCTATTTTTTTTAGCATTTAGTTTTTAAAAAATTGTCTCAGTTAGTTAATAAATTTACACAAGAGCGTAGTACCACTTCAGTTTTTATTACAAGTCATTTGCAATTCATTCTCATATGTCAAGAAATGTATTAAACTGATAAAATTTTTTTGAGTCTACCCATATTAAAGTTTTGTTCTTGTATTTACAAATTATTATCACATCTATCACATTCTTTTTCTTTTTGCAACGAGAATTAAACGAGGATAAAATTAGAAAATGATCATTAAATTCCCTGCAAATGGCTTATAAAAAGGATGGAAGCGGTGTTTCTTAAAAAAATAATAATAATAACATTGGCAAATATTTGCCCCTTTACATAATCTTTCAAAATAAATAAATGCATGTATGATGGAGGCAGCAGTGACGTCTACATGCTGAGATAAGCACGCCCTGCGTGTGTATATATAGACAAGGGCATGATGGAAGTTGAGGCACAACTCAGATCAGATCAGTACCAACACCAAAATCAAAATGGCGGCGAATGCCATCAAGTTTCGTGCTTACGCCCACACTTACGCCCAATTTGAACATCTGAGCGGTGGAGCAGGCCAAATCGCCGTGGTCTTCGCCACAGACAGGGACGGAAATGGAAACTTCCAGCCCGATTTCAATGTCGCTCCCGAACAGATCCACCATTTCCAAAATTTCAAGTTCTTCTTGAGCGTGGGAGGCTATCCCTTCAATCTCAAACCAGATTACGTTGCCGCAGCCGTCGACTCCCTCACAAACATCATCACAAAGTACGGTTTTAACGGCATCGACTTTTACTACGAACAGATCCCTGCCCCTTATGATGTTCACTTTGTGGATGTCATGCAGAGAGTGATTTTGGGGCTGAAGGACGGAAGACCCAGCCTTGAGGTCTCCCTCACTGTGCCTCATCCTCTCGGTCAGAAGTACTACCTGCCTCTGTACAACAGGGTCCAAGATCTTATTGAATATGTCATTTACCAGATCCACTCTACGCCAAATCCTGTCAACGACGTCGGACAACTAGTGCGAATATTCGATGATTTACCTTATCCCGCAATCAAGCTCTTTGCTGGCTTCATCACCGACTGTAACATTATCCCACTGCTCGTCTTCATTGTGGCCTGTATTGTGCTCTTCATCAGAGGCCGCATTACTGGCGTATCCGTTTCGGCTGCCAGCGTCGTGTGATCGCCGGCACTGGTATTTCAGCTTCATCATCTACACGTACCAAGCATGCTTATTATGTTATTACTAAATAAAGTGCCACCAGCAACCCTGAGCCTGTTCTTAATGTCTGGTGGTTTAATTTGCATGAGTTTCCTTTTGTCTACTGTTGCTTGTAACTAGTGTGTTGTTGGGTTTGTTTTATTATATCTATATGTATTACCTGAGTCGTACTAATAATAAAATTATCCAGTACTTGTGATTGTTAATTATCTTGCGTGCGCTTTTTCCGGTATTAATTGGCTACCAAATCTAGCTGTGTACATATTGTCTTCAATATTACTAGATCATCCGCTTCCCTTTCCATTTGTGGAATGCATTTTACGGGAACCACCGCACAGTGCCAATGTATATGAATTTTACGCCGATAGATTCCCAGAAATGCGATCTCAATAAGAAACAAAGCAGCAATCATGTGCAATCTCGGATTTCTACTGCATTTGCCTTTGGTGGCCATTATCATGGCACGAGATCTTCCTTCTTTTCTAGGTCCATTTACTAGCCCAAGAATACAAAGTAATATTTATAACCTTGTGCTTCCAGCCTCTTGAGCAATGTGGACTTTTTTCTTTTTTTTTTGACACACCTACATTATATCTTCAACAATTTTTGTTTAAAATAACTAGCATAAAGAAGTTATGACATCATCTTGAGCACATAAAATAAACGCATGTGAGGTTTGGGAGGATTTTGCATGAAGAAGGGCTCTGATGATTAGCCAAGACTTTAGAGGCCGACTTGACTCATATACCATCTCCTATATTTAATACAAAAGTTAGTTGACAAATTTGAGTAAATTAAAAGAATTAGTTAAGTTAGTTATTAGTAATGAATAGGTGTTGTCTTTTCTAAAATACTCTTGCTAGTCGTATGTATTAGCTAAAACTACTATTTGATGAAATACTTAACATGGCTAACCATTATGAAGACGATCTTAAGAAAAATAGATAAATATAAAAAATAAAATAGAGAGAAATTCTCATATGCTCTAGGAGTACTAGCTCACATCAACTTTGACCAATCAAAAAATAACACCTCATTCAGGTTTAATCCTAGTTGGCTCTCCAGATCAACAGACCATTGACGGCTCCCTGGGAAATGCTACCATTATTTTCTCTTCCCTTCTGCTACATTCCTCTTCAACCACCCATGAAACCATTTCCCAAGACATCAAATTGGAAAATTTTAAATTTTTAAATTTAATTTTGAGTTATTATTCATTGTAACCCTATTTTTTATCAAATTTTGAAAACTTATAACTAATTCTAAAAAAATTGAAATGATGTGGTTCCAAGTCCTACTTGAAGCTTACAATGAGCTCTTTCAGGAAAAAATATATTCAAAGTATGAATTCAGTTCATGTGTACTCAGTTTCAACGACAAAGTACAATATTTGTTTGGTAATTTTTTCAATTTTACATTTATGCCCAGCTTTAAAAAGGCATAATTTTTTGTACAAAACTCCAAATTTTATGAAATATCACTCATTTTAAAGTTAAAAATATGAGCTATTAGACTGTTACATCCCTTTCGCATGGTCAATCTTTATCCCCAATTTAGGTCAACTTTCATCCCTTTCATGCGTAACTTGTTAAATTAAGACCATAGCCACTCCAACATAATTCAGCCACATTTCACAGCATATAACAAGTAATTTCATACTTTGAATGTAATAGCATATTTGTTTATTCAAAAATTGTCAACATTTTATACCATGCATCTATTAACGGCATCGACTTTTACTACGAACAGATCCCTGCCCCTTGCGATGTCCACTATGTGGATGTCATGCGGGGAGTGATTCGGGGGCTGAAGGGCCGAAGACCCAGCGCTGAGGTCTCCCTCACTGTGCCTCCTCCTCCCAGTCAGAATTACTATCTGCCTCTGTACAACAGTGTCATAGATCTTATTGATTATGTCATTTACCAGACCCACTCTACGGCAAATCCTGTCAACGACTTCGGACAACTAGTGCGGATACTCGATGATTTACCTTATCGCGCGGGCAAGCGCTTTGCTGGCTATAGCTTCTTCATCAGCGACCGGAACACTGTCCCACCGCTCGTCTTCCTTGTGGCCTGTATTGTGCTCCTCACCAAAGGCCGCATTACTGGCATATCCGTGTGGGCTGCCAGCGCCATCTGATGAACCTGAGATTTGAGCTTCATCATCCACACGCACACCGGCATGCTTGCATGCTCTTATAATATATTACTAAATAAAGTATCACCGGGGACCCTGTGCGTGTGCTTGCTGTTTATGTCTGGTGGTTTAATTTGCATGTGAGTTTCCTTTCGTGTCTGCTGTTGCTTGTTGCTACTGTGTTATTGGGTTTGTTTTGTTATGTTTGTGTACGCATGAGTCGTATTATTAATAATAAAATTATCCAGTACTTGTGATTATATATTACTTGCCCTCCGTGTGCTTTTTTTCCTGAGCTCCTATGGTATTCATTTGCTACGTACCTAGCTGTGTGTTATATATATTCAATTACTATATATCCTTCCATCCGTGGAATGCCATTTTCGGGAACCACCACACAGTGCCAATTTAAATGAATGTAAAATACGCAACCATTGTTGTAGTGAAATCTACACTATTCAAATACGATTTTAATAATATATAGATTTAAAATTTTCAACTAATAATTTTTCAATAAATTTTTTTTTGAAAAACTTGCAGTTAATAGATTACATTTATTTTGGAGCATGTATCTATTAAAGGAAAACATTTTTCAAAAATGAAAAATTTAAATCATGACCGTCCATATTAAACCTGAATCATTGGGATTTGATGAGCATTATAGTACTATCATTGCGATGATCACCAAAATTGGTTCGGGGCTTATAAAACGGCTTCTAATTGTAATCTCAAATGAATCAAATGTGTTTTCATTGGGCAACTCCACACCCCGACAGTTCATATCCCAAGCGCAACAATTACACGATCGGGCTTATAAAACCGCTTCTAATTTTGTTATCCATGCCCACATCCAATCAAGTTTCATGAATTTTTAAAAGAATCGTTACTGGTCCTTAGGGGGAAAAAACCAGCATATTGTAGGTGTATAAATTAAAAATAGCTCAACACCAAAATAAATGATTACTGTCTCGTTAGAAGAAACTAAGGAAAATTCTAAAGCAATGTCGAAAACTTACTATTTTTTCCGTCTTAAAATGATCGTCGCTATTTGTTGTGTTCCTTCATACATAGCTATCATAACTTACTTTCAACACTCATTCGTCCAAATCAAATTGTGTAAATGACAATTTCCATGTTTCCCCTCAATTATATTGCATGTACAAAATTACTTTCGAAGTTTTACTTAGAATATTTGTTTTTGTTATCCATAAAACATTATTATTTTATACAATAAAATAGTTAAAAAAAGCATAGGTAGATTATTATATGAGGTTTGGGCTCCTTTCGCATAGTAAGATGGGGCCAATATTGGAAACCCATTTAAGTCTCACATATTAAGTGGAGAGCGGGCAGCTTAGGCCCAAATTTTGATGGCATGTTTGCAACATCCAGTGGGTCATTTTCCGTTATTGGAGTATTGATATTTATGTATGCATGTATGTAAAACTCATGGTCGATGTTACGGATTCGATTTGCACATTTACTTACTAAATTAACCAAATGTTGTTTTGTTCTTTTTTTAGTTTTAAAGGGTTAATATGGTGTCATTAGTAGTTCCTATAATTTCATCAAATTTTTATTTTATTTTTGAAATGTTGATTTGGTTATATTTAATTCTAAAAAACATTTGCATCGACGGTGAAGTAATTCAAATCTGAAATATAAAATCTGAAATATGTAAAACAAAATAATATCATATCATATATATATAAAATATAAGATAAATTCCTGAAAATTCTGAAAATTTTATGTTTTTTAATTTGATAATTCTCATAAAAAAAAAAAAAAGAAACTTGACACCAACAGCTCAACCAGTCTTTAACGTGCATGTCGACCCACATGTCACTCCTCCCCTCTATATTATTTTAAAATTGTGTGTTTTTTAATTTGATAATTCCCATCAAATACACGTGCAGCCTTGTTGGTATATCACGACGAAGTTTGGTGAGCATTCGGTTTTTTCTTTTTTGTGGAAATCGAATTAACTGAAATATCAAAGAACACCAATTTTAAGTATCAAACCAAAACCCATTAACTAAATAAATTAAAACTGAATTAACCCAAATATTTCAATTCAGTTAATTAGTTAAACGAAATATATATGTTTTGTCAGATCCTATGAAGAATAACTTAGCCATATATGTATGTGTGTGTGTTTTGATTCGCTGTCTCTAAAGTATTATTGGGTCAATGTCTAAATAAAACGCAAAGTGCATATACTTAACTACACTGTTTGAACCTAATAAAACCTTTCTACTAATGAACACGTTATTCTAATGGTCATGTTTAGTATTACAAGAGATAATGCTCAAGTGACAAGGTTATGTGATTTACAAATGCGAGGAATTAATGAAAGATGAAAAACAGCACATAAAATTCAAAATTTCATGGTATTTTACAGGAGATAATTAACCAACTTCTTTTTCTGTGATTTAAAATATATAGAGATAATCCTCAAATAAAAAGGATACGATGATATCCTCAAATTCAAAATGAGTTCTGTGCATTGAAAAATATCTCTTTATCACAGCAACATGGACAAGAACTTAGCAATCACATCTTAACTTAATTTGGTCTTTCATATAAGAGTTAAATAAAATTAGTTAAGTTAATTATTTGTAATAAATAGGTTTTGTTTTTCATAAAATATCCTTACTAATCAAGTGTATTAGTTAGAACTATCATTTTATAACATGTGCAACTAATACAAAAACTATACTGAGAAAGATGAATTAACATGAAAGATAAAGTAGATTGGGGTATTGTATTTGATAAAATTGAAAGTCAAATTGGCTCTTGTATTAATATCTGGAGGTAGTATT